GGAAAATTGGTAAGTAGCATTTTAATGCTAGTTAGTAGTGTGAAGTATCTAGAACTTGTTTGTTCAAGCGATTGCAGAAGGAGGGAGGAAAGAAGACATTACTGGTTTAAACATTGGATTTGATTGTCAGATTCAACCATAACTTGTAGTTAGCTGCCCTTCTAGGTAGCTGAGGCCACTTTGTGTTCTTTGAGTTCTGCTACATAATCATTGTGTTGATTTTTTTTTTTCCTTAAAGCTTGAAGCTTCTTTAGCTGCTGCCAGGGAGCAGCTTGCAAGTGAAACTTTACAGAAGGTGGATCTTGAAAACCGTTGTCAAAGTCTCACCGAGGACTTCGAATTCCGTAAAAATATGTATGAGAAAGTAAGTGCTTTAGTGTTAAGAATTCACATTTTTAAAGGTAAGATAGAAACTGGGAGGTCATTCTAGAGTACTACAATAATTTAGGTTGGGAGGGACCTTTTGAGTCATCCGATCTGAAATCAGAGAAGGGCTTACCTCTATTCTAGGTGAAAGATTTTCAATTTAGTTTTTCTAGGAAAAATGATATTAACTGAGAGCTCTTGTGATAAAATAGCTTAATGTATGATGATGTTTCATGCTAAATTCTGCCAATAGTATTGCAATGTACATGATTTTTCATAGTAATGAGAAAGTAGATTAATAATTTCTTGCATAATCCCTTGATGAAAAATAAATGGAGAAGGATACTCAAACATGCTGTGGACTTGTACTGGTTTTTACTTTCCGAGCTTTCCAGTAGGATGCTTTTGAATAATGGAAACAGAAGTTGATGAACATTTGTATTTTCTAGCTTCTTCTTGCTACCCTTCCTTTCACTTACAGTACTTGAGGCTTTTCAGGAGGAACCTTAGAGCAGTAACAGATGTACCTAACCATGCTGTCTTTTGTTCCATGTGCACCCCTCCTTGCTAGGTGTATTTTCAGCTTTGTCCATGTTGTTGGAATAACTTTTTCCATAGACAACAGGCATACATACAAATAAATGGGGAAAATGCTGATCAGTGTAACTGACTGTTTAATTTCACAGTACTTTTTGTGCAAGCATAGAAAATACCTAAAGAAAAGGGGGAATATATTTCTAAAACTTAATCACACTGTGGTGTATTTATTGAAAATGCAGACAGCTCTCAGAAGGAATTGTTACTTTATGTGCTGATGTTATCTTAGCTCTTATTTCAATGACTCGCTATTGCAAAATAAACTACTATGGAGATCAGAAGGGGAAAATGGCCCTGTGTTTCTACTAAAAGTTTCAGTGTCAAACAAACTAATCTAATGTTGATCCACATGACTAGGTAAAATCTGCATTACTATCTCCTCAGCGGATAGCCTTCTAAAACTTGTCATATTTACTGAATGTTATTTTCTTTTTCTGTTTTTCTTAGGAAATAAAAGAAACAAAACAGAAATATGACACTCGCATAGCGGAGGTTGGTTTAAGGCATCAAATTGCATTTGAAGATAAATTGACCCAAGCACTTCGTGAAATAAGAGAGCAGCATGATATAAAAGTGAAGCAGTACAAAGATGAGCTGGAACAGACTTACCAATTGAAAGTGAGAACATCTTTTCATACAGTTGTCTGATTAACTTTATTTTTGTTTTACTTAATAGAAAGATACCCTAATTGCTTGCATGTTGGAGGATTTTATTTTGGACCTTGTTTTAAAGTTACTATGCTTTTGAATGTGAATTTGCGTTTTCAGGTCTCATTTTAGGAGCAGGTTTAATCCTCAGGAAGAACAATAATACAAGAGTAGGAAACACCATGTGAAGGTGAACTGTGGGGAAAAAAGTGATTAGTACTGGGATTACTATGAATTCAATGAAAGTTCATGTGTTATTTTGTATCAAGTGTAGCATAGTCTTGACGATGAATAAGATGGCTCATATTTTGTATACAACTTTGTAATACGGCTTGCTGAGAGGACCGCATCCTGAGACCTCTTACCCTGTGCAAAACATGTGGAAGTTTTACCACACGCAATGATTACTGCTTTTCATCCTTCTAGAGAGGAAGACTCAAGCTGAAATCCGTTATGCTTCATAATTTCCTTCCTTTACTAAGATTTAGCATTTCTGTCAGGAGGGTTCCTGATATCTCTACTCAACCTGTTTTTTCATGGCTATACGTGTTCGAGTTAATATTTTTAGAAACAAGGTGGGATATTACAGCAGAGAAGTTGATACAAACCGAATTTATTAGTAAAGTTTTCAGTCTTTACAGTCTTAACAGCATGCAGTTGTTTATCTTCACGGCTTCAATCTGACTTGGAGAAACTTCTTTTAAATAAGATCTAGCCAAAAATATTTTTAAGCTTGAGGCTTTCTTGTGCCTTCTCTTCAGGTGTATTTTTTTATTTCTTGACGCTTATTTTAAAATCTTTTGGTTTTTCTTTAGATTCCATTTAAGCTGCAACTGCAAGTTCAATAAGTCTGTGGTGCTGCACAAGTGGGTATGGTAGTGTAGGGCAGCCAGCTTAAAAAAAGGAAAATTATTTGAGCTTTAAGTTGTGGTAGAATGAAGCAGTAGTGACTTATGGCACTGATACTGTAATCTGAAGGCACATTAGAAATTTTCTTATGTTGGCAGAAAGTTAACGTAAGTTTGCTTGTTTTTAGAGATTTGGTAATTTCCGTTAAGCTGCTTCTATTTAAGCATTTTCAAAACCAGTTCTACAGTAATTAAACATATAAAACTAAACATTGGCCAGCATGAAAACTGAAGTTAGCAGTCCAACTTCAGTCATGTAAGTTATCCTTGTAAACAAGTTTTGAATCCTATAATTATTCAGAGGATTGTCATTTCAGGTAGGGCAATCCAGCATGGTAATTAAGCTACTATATTTAACTCCTAAAGAAAGATGTTTCATTGTGTCAGAGCTGCAGAGAGGAACATTGCAGCTTAGTGTTGTGTGTGCTTTTTCATAACTCATTTTTCTTTTAATAAAAGTTACTTTGAATCTGATGTCTTAACTTGATGTGCTACAGCTAGAGAATGCTAAACTGGTTGCTGAGATGAGCAGTTCTGCAGGCAACTCAGTACGAGAAGAACTGAAGGAAAGCAGCATACGAATTGGTGATCTGTCTTCCCATCTTGCCAGGCTTCAGAAGGAGGTAATAAACTGTGACTCTTCAGTCTTGCTAATTACAGTTGTTGATTTTTATATTAAATAACTTTTTACCTTAACTTGTTTGTTCAGCATCATGACTTCCTAAGTAGAGTGCCTGAATAGCAAACTTGGCGACTTAACCAGATGAGGTGATTGTGGGACATAGGTTTCTGTGTTTGTCCTTTAATTTAAAAAGTCCGAAGAGACTATCAAACAGAAGATAGCATGCTCAGGAAAGTAAACCTAAGAACTGTCATAATTTAGCCTTTCTTTGATAAGCATTCACTCTGTATGTAGAATGTTAAGTTCCACTGACTTGATGTGATTTTTAAAGTATGTGACAAACTAGCTTTCTTCATGGTACACTTAGCATTGTACTTTCAGCAAGCCTTGAAAGCTTTGATAATAGTCAGACAGGCTTTCATTGACAACAACCCTGGTACCTTTAGAGGAACTTTCTCCCAGAATTCAGAATTGACAGCAGTACACTGAATCAGGAAGTAGACATCTGAAAGCTAAAAAGCAATTACTTACCACAGGTTATGAAGTATGCTGAGCTGCTCTTTGATTCTGTGTCCTGTCCAGCACATTTTAAAGGGTTTGACTCTTAAGCTCAGTTTTGGTTGACTAAGTGAATTCAGGTGTAGTAACATATTTTCAGATCTCGGAAAAGTGGAGCAGGTTGTCTTTCAAAGTATTCCGTAAATTTCATTGGAACTTAAGGTATTATGTTTGTAGTAGATGAGGTGGAAAACAGGAAGTTGAATATGGGTAAGTTTGAAATCAGAAAGTGGGGAGGATGCCTAACAGAATGTTTTTAATTTGATGTTGCCTGGCTAGCAGAGTGCATGGAGGTTTGGGTGAGCTTTCCTTTGCACCACTGATGTTTCAATGTTCTCTAGTCTAGAGCATGGCAAGAGAGAGTTCAAGAGCTTGAGGACAGCTTGGCCAAGGAACGGGAAAACTGTTGCAAAGTAGTGTCTGAGAAAGAGAAGGAAATGGCAGAGTTAAGAGCTCAGATGCAGGAGCAACTGAGTGACTACGAACAACTTCTGGATCTTAAATTGGCACTTGATATGGAAATCAATGCGTACCGGAAAATGCTGGAGGGTGAAGAGGAGAGGTATGAAAGAATGTAGCGACATTCTATCTGTGTGCTTTGCTTACTCGTCTCTTTCTCTTGTTAAAAGGCAGTTCTTTCTGGGAATGTGTTCATTAGGTGCTTTACTACAGTTTCCAAGGCACTGTTTGTTTTTGCCCCCCC